TTAATTTTGGAGAGCCAGTATTGGGCCTTTCTATCAAGTGCACAACAAGGTGACTGACTTGTAGTGGTCACTGATTAATTGCTCATTAAATAGATAAGTTGCTGGACCAGCCATTTGGCAGCTATAGTTGTTATACTGTTGGTCTGTGTTCAGAATCACATGTTGAATTGACACTTCTCTCAGTTAATACCATCTATGTATCCCCTTTTAGTTATATCTCTCTTATCTTACTTATTTTTAAAAGACTCCCAAGTGTTACACTTTCAATCATGACTGTCAGTAGGATTAAAAGCAAGAAAGCAATTTGAGGAGTTATAGTAGGAGATGTGGAAAATAAGTTTACCCAAAAGATTATTGCAAGGAAGAGCTGCTGACTAGAGCTTATTGTAAAGTTTCATTGCCTCCATTATCCAAACAGGAAATATTATTCATTATTCAATTAAATAATTAATTGAAGTGATCACAATCCCTTAATTCTTAGACTTAGAGCATCTTTCCTTCCCTTCCCACATCTCACTTTCAATTTTGAAAGGCAGCACTGCTACTGATACCATCCCTCACTTGGCAAAAAGACACTTTTTTTTTTTATTGGATTTTAGGTTTTGGGGTACATGAGCAGAGCATGCAAGACAGTTGCGTAGGTACACACATGGCAGTGTGCTTTGCTTTTCTTCTCCCCTTCACCCACATTTGGCATTTTAAAAATGTTTGATAAGGTACCAACATCATGTAGATACAATACTACTGATGCTATTAAGAGCAGCAACTATAGCCAAAATTTATTGAGCACTTAGTATGTGTTAGGCACTGCTCTAAATCATGTTAAATGTTTTTTATCAATTGGTGAAGTATGAATTATTATATATCCATTTATTGATTTTACATATGAATACACTGAAACACAGATCAGTTATGTTACTTGCCATGTTTGCTCATTAAATATATATCATACAATTATAATTTGATCCAAGACATAAAGCTTCAAAACCTATGCTCTACCCTATCCAGTACTCCTAATTCAGAGTACAAGAATAATTGAGATTTCCTAATTGAGAAGTAGGAGTAAAATTAGTGTGGTCATTGATATATTTTCTATGACAGTCTATGTATTCTTAGGAATTATATATGGTTTATACTAACAGTGACAATTTTCCAAAGACATTGTCTTTGACCCCTCACTTTTTAAGTATGCATTGCCTTCCTGATGGCTTCCCTGTATGTGCTATATATTCTGGATCTTACAGTTTTTACTTCAGCTTGACCCATTATCTTCTAAATTTGGAGTCTCAATGATTCTGTTACTCTGAATTAACAGTATTGTATAAGGTAAACACAGATTTTAAGGCTATGTTTTCTGAAATTAAGTTATAACTATGTGATTATTAAATAGATACATTGCTCACTATATAACACTATTTACTGAGTAAATGTGGCAATTACCATAATTTATCAGTGTTTCAGTTTACTCATCTGTTATGGCAGCCTCAACCGATTAAAACAAAGGGTATTACAAGCTATCCTTAATCTCCTCAGCAGTCCTACCCTATACTAATGCTCCTCTCCATAGACAAACACGTGTCATTTTAAGGACACAACAAAAGCTATTTGCATCTCTGGTGCACTTGACTATTGAGAAATCTGTTGTTAAATACTTTTCTTTTGTATTTTTTGTCAACATACATATAATGCTCATATTTTTGAATATAATACTTATTTTGATTACATCACTAGCTTATATCATTAAGATTATATCACCAGCTTCTCCTCCTTCTTTTAAACACACAATATTTCCTTGGTTTCATCCTAGACTGTCATCTATTCTCACTCAAAGCAACCCCTTTGGGTAAGAGTATCTATATTCATGATATCATCTATATTCACATACTGATGATTCTTAATTTTTTTCTGATATAGAAATTCATATACCTAACCTACTTTAGGTATCTGAACTGGACATGCCAAAACACCTAAAATATACCTAACCTACTTTAGGTATCTGAACCCGGACATGCCAAAACACCTAAAATATACCTAACCTAATTTAGGTATCTGAACCTGGACATGCCAAAACACCTAAAATATTATAGTACCTTTATATATAACTTTTATAAATGTTATACAATTCCATCTTCCATATTTTTTTTTAAAAGCTTATCTACTATTGTGCTCGATGCACTATAGGAATGTATTCCCTGAAAGCTATTTTACTTACTGTACCTTTAGCCATCAGTCCCAAATGGTGGGACAAGCATAGGATAATATATATAAACATCTCAGTTCTAAATGAAAGAAAAATTGAAGATAAAAAGGGCTATAGTCCCAACCAATTCCAAAAGCCAGTTGTATAAACTCTATCGGATTTCAAGGCCAGAAAATAATTTACTGTGGCTTGTGACTCTGCCTTCTGGGGCAACTCCACCCTCTGAGGCATTCTTTATTATAAAATATAGTATGTGTTTTCAACTAAATATTTATCTTTTTATTTCCTGCTTGTAGTATTTTGGGGGTCTTGAACAGTTTTTCGTTTCAAATTCTCTCTCTTTGTGTCTTTCTGCTCATGTAACATTTTCAAGAACTTTGTGAGTTTCCTCTGTGTATCACATGTATTATGTCAAATGGTCACGATGCTAGTTCACAGTTCTTCCCTAGATAATCCCCTCTTTATTTTTGACTTTTGCTGAGATTATTGAGAGGATGCCCTTAATCTTCCTAGATATGCTGTTATTGGATTGAGGAGATCTATGAATCATGCTCTGAATCTGTTACAAAGTCCTTTGCATTACTGAATATTCTGAGCTTCTAATCTTTACAGGGCACCAGTACAAGATTATACAGCCATACCCTTAATCATTCCTCTAAGGCGTATTTTCTGGATATCAAACCTCTTAAATTATTATTATTATTATTTTGCCTTTTGGATAGAAAACTTCCTAAATCATCAAGTTCATCTTTACATTAGTTAAGTAAAACAATCATAGACTGGACTATGACTTCAAATTTGGGATATTTACAATTATCTCAAATTAGATTATCTTAAAACTCTCTTCAGTTGAAATATTTGCCTAATATTAAAGCCAATGGGAAAATAAAAGGTTATATTTATCAGTTATTCCCTCAATTTATTTTTCTTGTATTATATTTATTTTAAACAGTGGGAAGACACCAGCCCATATCTTTAATATTGTGCTTGGCATTTTCCTTTACTCTTGCATTTATTATATTTCATTAATATTTTTATTTGCACATTTACCTATCCCACTGAATAATGATCCTGCGTGAGTAGTTAATGTTCCTAAAAATCTTTGCTTATCATTGCTTAATATACCCCTGTTTGTTAACATATCATTGCTTATCATTGCTTAACAAACCCCTGTTAATTGTTAATTGAACAAATACAAGTAATTTATCCAAAAACCCCTTCTCCACTTCTATTCTTTCCTTGGCTATAATATCACATACTATTTCAAGATAATCTCTCTACTTTGAGAGGTAATTATAAATGTCCCAAATCTGAAGTTACAGTCCAGTCTATAATTGCTTTACTCAACTAATGTAAAAGTGTATAAAAATTAAAGTTGTTTTCCTTAAAAATGCTACATACTCATAAAAAAAAACACCTTTAGTTCAATATAATCGTATTAGTGGTGTCCCTTACAATAAGTCATGAATTCCCAAATATAATTCTTCTCCTTTCTCTTAACACCATTTCCAAAGGGCTTTTAATATTAAGAAAAGAATATTTATAAAAGAATAGAAAATGTATGCAAATGAGTGGCCTTTCTCAGTAGAATTTTTTTTATTCACTATGAAATAAAACTTTATAATAATTCCCTGAGACCCTCTCTTTCTTTAAATGAGTAATTTTATATTAAATGTAGAATGAGGTCCTCTTCTTAAAGGCAATTGAGCAATTACTGATAATATAACTTCTCAAAAGCTGGCACTAAATATAGTTAGGTATATGTAAAGGACTGTTATACGTAAAACATAATCATTCAAAACTGACCAACATTTATATTTGTTTACTTGAGTATTAAGGAACAAAATCATATAAACACAAAATTCTTCAGAAGTTTTTTATGCTACTGAAATGCTGAATATCTGGATAGACGTGCCACGTTACTCAAGAAAATGGATAGCTTGTGTGATGCATAACATGGTTTAACACATACCGAACCAAGAGCACATGATGCAATCATATTTGTTCATATTTAAAATTTTGCCTTCATTTGAACTAAAGTGGTAAATAAAACTGTTAGAGATGGAGTTATGGAATATAGACCTAATTTAAAATAATTTTTTTCTTTACCTTACAATAGAATTGTAACTTGAGAAAATTGTTAAAATAAACTTATCATAGAGGTTTTATTTTTAGTAAGACAGTATTTTCAACCACATTAACATTAATTTCAGGTACATTCCATAATTATGTACATGATCATTTTAAGGATTGCTCAGATATGTAAAATTCAAATAATTTTAATAAAAAATATTTTCAAATATTTACTGGATGTATCTGAAAATTGCTTCACTCCTTAGTTTGTTCTATGTAAAATGTATTATATGCTTTTTATATATTATGACATTTATATTAATAAACTTAGTTAATGTTTGATGATTATTAAAGCATTAAAATATATATGATGGTAGTTACTATTTAAAGTGGATGTAATATCTGGATTCTGTAGAATGAAATGAAAGAAAACAAAACTAACAGGAAAAAAATATTTGGAGGACAAAAGGATTTAACCTTTCCTTAGTATCATTTAAATGTGAAGAATTTAAAAAGAATATCTACATTAAAAGGACGTCTTTCCTGCTAGTGAATATGTTTCTCAGTTCAGAGGGGGTGGCATTTCATCCTACATCCTAGCTCTACCACAATCTGTTCCTGACAGGACCATCCATCTGTTTAGCCTGAACAACCCTGCAGTTGCTTATGTGCTTATTCACAGATGTAAGTAGGAGGTTGACTACAGGTTTTTGGACTTATACTTGAATCTAAGCTAACGTGACACATTTGCAAGCATAGCTGCACATGTTCTGGTTTAATTGGGAAATCTCTCCTTTGACTTTCAGAATAGCACAGAAGCAGAGACTTTATGTCTAAGCAGACCTAGATTCAGAGCAGACCCGAAGCTGCTTGAAGAAGGCTGGAGGTATGTTAAGGAGACAAGAGCTGTCAAGAAGCAGGGATGTCTCTGGAAAGGGTGAGCAGCTGACGTCCTTTGTAAGTTCCCTGGGCAGCATTGATGGGAGGTAAAAACCTTGGGAAGAGTCTTGGTTTAACATGGACTTTATGGCCTCCTTTATTTCTATAAACTATGATAGACACTCTTCTAAAATTTCTGTTATCCTAGCTGCTTTTCTATGATATTTTTGGACCCCTGACTTATTTACACAAATGGAATGATAACTTTTGCTTGGAAATTTTAAATATCTAAGGCACAAATTAGACATGGGACTTCATTCACACTTCTCCTCTAGATCTTATTCAAGACACCCTATGAGCTATATTGGATATTGCACAACGTTTACACCAAACATGTGTCAAGCATTTTAAAAATTTGCCATTGTGGAGCAGTGCTTCAGCATGATTTGTAATAGTGCATTCTGCCTTCTAAAATGTTTTGACTACTGGTGGTAATTGCTTTACAAGTGAAAACTATCCTCCTTAGTTCTCAGAATACTTGTAATCTGAGCATATCACACCTCCATATTTTGCTTGTGATGCTCTCTCTGTACCTTTTATCTTCTTAGGCTGTTGAAGTAGTTCAAGTTTCAGTTCAACTGTCTTCTACTCCATGAAGTTTTCCTTGATCCTCTTACTCAATACTAATCACCTAATGCTTTTGTGTTCCCATAACGAATGCCTTTCTTTCTATCTGTTGGTATCATGTAGTACAATCTGAATTGAGTCATTGCTGTGTACTTTTTGTATTTCTAGTGGATTATGACATTTATATTTGGGTTATTCTTTTTCTTACTAAAGGATCTTAAAGAAAGTATGCTCTCAATAAATGCTTATTAAGTTGAATTTTGGGTACTAATGAAATGCAAATTCTAGTAGACCCTTTGTATAATTGCATGCAGATAGTTCAATTTTAAAAACTAGTAGAGCTCTTATAATTCTTTTAATACTTTATATTTCCTTATCCCTTTATGGTTTGAAAATATTTCTATAATAAATATGTATGTGCACATGTAAGAGTCCCGTAAGAAAATTCAAGAAGATACAGCCAGAGTGCCAGAAAAGTTGGTGGTACAACGTAAGTTGGAAATAAACAAAAAGTAAAACCTTCTCAGAAATGCGGAAACATTATTTTTTATGGAGTACTTGGAATATAAGTTGTTCTCTTCCTGACAGAGAGAGAGAGAGAGCAAGCCAGAGCAACAGAGAGAGGGAAAAAGAGAGAGAGAAAGAAAGACAAAGAGAAAAACAGAAAGAGAAAAAATAACTCCTTCCACAATAACAAAGAGGAGACAGTGTTCTCATCTCCATCAATCTTAGCAAGGCTTTCGGCTAAGTTTGTATTAGAGGAGAATCACACCTTGAAGGTCCTGCATTTTTACAAGGATATGAAGTAACAAGGAGCATCAGAAATAGAGCACTTAGTTCCAAATCATCTGCTGAGCAGTAAGCTCTATCGTTTCCTAAGATGTACTTCAGCATTTCCTCAAGGGAAAGCAAGATGAAAAGTTAGGATTCCAGACACACACATACACTTTCACACAAACACACACACCAACTGTTACTTCAGTTTAGCAGCTGTTCCTCTACTTAAACATGTTGATTTCCTTCTGATAATGTATTTGAAGAAATTGTTTCTTCACCAAAAAAAATATACAATTTTAAAAATCACTGACCTAAGGACACTAAAAATAAAATTAACAAATTCTTAGTAATTTTAAGTGTTATTATAGCTTTCTAGAAAGTCAAGTATATAATACTAAAAATTTACTTATGAGAATATTTAGGGGAAAAAAAGACTAGAGGTGCTAAGAAAGATGCAAAACAATGAGAAGCATGACTTCAAAAGGAGCTGTAAAAGATAAAGCAGGTCAGTCAGCAGGGTGATCACTTGTTTAGTGGAACTCCAGATTTCTGGAAGAGCAAAGGGCAGAAGAATTTACCTGCCACCTTTCTCCCTATACATATTCTACAGATTAAGTTTTATCCCAGAGGGAGTTTAGTCACTGAAACTTCAATCTGCCTCTGTTCTCTTGGTGGCCATGCAGCAAGCGAAGCATTTCTTCCAAGTCTAAAAATGAAGAGGTCATCTAGAAGAAATGGAGCATCAACTAGGAACAATTATGGTGAAGGCAGTTGAGGGAGCTTGGGAAGGTGTACAAGACCTATATCCAATGCAAGTATAATTTTTTAGAAACTTTGAGTTGTAATAGTGAAGAGTTTTACTTGAATAAATATGATCAGCACAAAACTTAGACTCACATTATAGAGCTGTAAGTTTTGGAATAAATAAAGGCAAAGGAAAATGCATTATGAAAACAGACCTATAAGAATATTACACTGAAAGTTTGGTTTGTCTGAAATACACAATATATCATTGTTAGTTATAAATTCTTTTTATTGGACAGTGTCTAGGAAAAAGATAAACAATCTGTATTATGAATTTGTAAGTTACATATAATGTAAGAACAAATGCATTTCCTTAACCATACCTGTCTGGGTTTACCTAAATATCTCATTGAAAAGAGAATAATTTTTGGTATTAAAACAAGATTCAATAATATAGCAAGCACTGCAGCAAGTATGAGGAACTCATATTTCCTATTGTTATTGTTAAAGCACTAAGTAATACTTGATAGTTTACATAGAAACATACCTACTGCTATATACTCAGTTAATCATAGTGGCTATTAATGGTTTCAAGACTGGTCAACCTGAATCCAATTCCTGATTTTGAGTGTAATACTTAACATCCTGAAATATGGTATTTTTGTTTTGTTTCATTTTAATCAATAAAATGGTTATAAGAATATCTCAAGCATAGATTGTACAGAATAAATTAATAATCTGTAATACTGTTCTATCAAGGACTTAACGAATGATAGATATTACTTGATGTTACTTAGTATCATTATCATCCTTATTTTTATAACTACTTATATATTTGTTAAATATTTAGTATTCTGTGTACAGTCAATTCCTAGTAGAAGTTATATTCTTCTCAACTACAACTTATACTGTTCTTAAGAAATGAAAGGAAATAAAACGTAAGTTACTGGGTATTATTTATGAGGAACTTCTGAACTGGGTGGACCCAAGCAACATTAAAGTCACAATCCTTGTGCTCCTGGTGTGGGCTGATCAGTTACTAACACTTGATATAAACTAGAGACTAGAAAGTAAGCAAAAGTTCTTCATGCCTTCCAGAGTTTCTCTTCACATCAGTTATTGTGATTGTTACAAGGTCATGTGAAGAGTGTAGACTAGTTATTGCTACTTTCTTTTAATAGAGAACTGAGACTAAAAGAAACTGTGACTTGAGTAATAGTTACAGCTTCATTTGGCAAACTCCTATTTCAAAACTACTGTTTAGAGCTCAAAGTATATTATACTTCATCACAAGACTCAAATGCATGAATATTTTACATGTAAATATATGATATAATTAGCATCTTTGGAATTATTGAGTGGTTGCTATTCTAGACAGAGAAAATAAGGTAGCGTTTCATTAAAATGTTGGTGTTAGAGAACCAGAATTATAATGCCATTAAGTATTATATAATAGGCCTATTTTTACCTGCCATTTTGTGAACTAGATGATATAGGGGAGTAATCAAAAGTAAAATTTTACAATGAATAAACTCTTCAATATCCAGAAAAGCATTTTATAAACTAGTAAAATAAATTCTGGTGTAATAACTTGTCTGGTTCCTTGTTCCTAAATCCATCAGATGAAGCTCTAAATGCAGACCCAGACAGCTCTGGTCCAGAGTAGGGATTCAATCCCATTTCCTAATTAAGGTAATGAAAAACAAGACAAAACAAAACAAGACAGCAAATTCAATAATACAATGATGTGGCTGAATTATATCTTTATTCCTATGTTACTCTGAACTTGTACTGCAGTTAAATTACAATGTTCCTATGCTTACTAACTCATTAAAGGAAATGACAAATTTTCTGTTGTGTTCCAATGACCATTCCTAAATTCCAAGACTTTCCTCGCAGAATTCCATGGGTCCTTCCTCTGAGGTCTGGTTACCAAAACTTTCTTCTAGAATGTAGATATAAATTTTAGTATGATTGCTAAATGTTATTCCACTGCTATTTTAATCTACCAATCTGCTATCATGCTAATTCTTGTTATTGACTCTTGTTGTTCTTTGATTTTAGTGGTCTGTCTACTGGAGCTATTAGATTATTTTCTACCATAGTTGTCTGATACTACACAATATTTTAAAATTCTGTTGTATTCTCTTTTTACACACTTTAATTGACAAGTTGTAAAAGCTACATTTTCATTTATACACTTTAATTGACAAATTATAAAAGCTACAGTGCAAAAGCAAATGGAAACCTAACAAAAGCAGAGAGTACACATAGCTGATTCTGTGACCACATAAGAAGTATACTGTTGCATAGATAACTCGGAGGAAGTTTCAAGACAACCTAGGAACATAGAAGACATCTTATCAAAGGTGTGCCTAATCCAAAGTTAGAAGATACAGTAGTTATTTTCTATTTTGTTGATCTTTTTGAAAAACCAACTCCTGGATTTATTGATTTTTTGAAGGGATTTTATGTGTGTGTGCGTGTGTCTATATTCTTCAGTTCTGCTCTGATCTTAGTTATTTCTTGTCTTCTGCTAGCTTTTGATTTATTTGATCTTGCTCCTCTAGTTCTTTTAATTTTGAGGTTAGGGTGTCCATTTTAGATCTTTCCTTGTTTCTCATGTGGGCATTTAGTGCTATAAATTTCCCTCTAGACACTGCTTTAAATGTGTCCCAGAGATCCTGATACGTTGCATCTTTGCTTTCATTGGTTTTGAAGAACATCTTTATTTATGCCTTCATTTCATTATTTATCTAGTAGTGATACAGGAGCAGGTTATTCAGTTTCCATGTAGTTGTACAGTTTTGAGTGAGCTTCTTAATCCTGAATTCTAATTTGATTGCACTGTAGTCTGAGAGACTGCTTATTATGATTTTTGTTCTTTTGCATTTGCTGCAGATTGATTTACTTCCAATTATGTGATCAAT